TCGACCTTTGTTTTCGTTAAGATTCGCCATATCAATAACCATAATTACATATCAATAACAACACAAATGTAACAAACATATCGTCCAAAATGCAATATGGCATGGAGACCACGATATCAATAATTACCGATGTGATTTTTTGCTGACGGAAAACAACGTACCACGTTCTTTGTAACCAAATCTTACTTCTGAAATTAATGTTAAAATCTAACTAAGAATGCTGTCAAAAAAACAAATATGACAACTGACTTTTAAGCAGGAATTACATTTTGCATAGATAAATGTATAAATTTTCATGATTAATAATGTTTTAACTTTTAACACGTATACGTATTTCGAGAATAATCATCATTAGCAATAACACTTACTGACATCCTATCCAAAAAATATTCCCTTATATACCTCTAGTGACCTTGTCACTAAAGAACATTATTATTTAGTTCATTATTCTTCCTTTTTAACACAACTAACAACATAAAATTATGAGAGTAGTAAAGTAGTGTAGTGTTCTGTGAAAGTTTTTTTGGATTAAGATGGTTGTTCTGTATTAGAACTTAACTATCAATCTTATAATAAATATATACGTTTTTTTAAAAAACACATGAATAGCACTTTTATTAATTATTATATATTTCTTTACAATATATTCTAATTACATTATTATTATTATATTCTAATGTATATCATAATCTCAAAAATATGAAATAGTGTTATCAATAATGGCAATGTCTGTAAAAACGCCATATAGAACTATATTAAAGAAACTCGTAAAACCAGGTCTTCTTTCAAACGTCGAGGATAAAAACCGACTAGATAACAAATAAAATCTAGTTAGTGGTTAAAAGTCAGCATTTTTAGCGGGGAGGAAGTTGAATGTTTAGTTTATCATCGAATAGATATTGCGCTCTATGAGTGGCTATCGATAGCTATGCCGTGTTAAAACCATATGGCGGATGATCCCGTTTCCTCTCTCACCAGATGCTTACGTAAGCATATTTCTAACATCAAAAGCACCATCATTTTCGTCTACATTTAATGAGATAAATGACACTGCCGGTGGTATTTCCCACCTACGATATTTATTTTTGACTATAAAAAAGGTTTAACGCTCTGTATCTTGTCACATACATGTTTAATTGGTATAAACATGCAGCTGTCTTTTTGAAAACTAATAATTTATTATTTAATAACTTTAATCATTTATTTGCATAAATAAAAATATGAACCAGCAAGCTCAATCGTCTTCTACAGAAGGTATGAAGAACTTTTTTCTTTCATTCAATGATGACACGTTATAAAAGTGGTTTAATAATAAATTAAAATGTAACACCGTAATTAGAATAACCATGGAGTCAGTTTATTACACCTTTAACTATAACGATATAATTAAAATTACTGCAAAATATATATAAAGTGGGGATTAATGTAAACAGGGTAGTAAATATAATAATAAGTAATAAAACAATAGCGTTTTTATTACACAGCAAAACAATAATCCTAATTACACAGTTATGTAAGTTAAATAAAAATATCTTCCGTTTCTTATTAAAGGTTGACGTGTCAGATCAAAACAATAATTGGAAATTAGTCTATATTTCAACGGCACGTGCGGCGGATGTAAGTCACAGATGAACTATTTTACATAGTCGCCAACGTGTCTTGCGGTGCTGCACTCCCTGACCGTACTATCTACCGACCTCCGGACAAAACAAACTAGTGTTATCGTCAACATTAATGAGTGCAACGGTGGACAGCTGATAATCACGACGATAACGTGCTAATTCACTGTAAATGAATAGTTCGCTATTACGGGCCGTGTCAATGATCACATATTTTACACCCTTATAATTTTTTTAATATATTTATTTACTAAAATAATCATATAAATCAAATAATGAATTTAACTGTGCTTATTAGCTTCGATGCGAAGCGGAGAAGGTATTAATTTTACTATCATAATTTTACGATCAAAAATCGTATCTAGTTGAAGACATTAACCTTAAAAATTGAAAAAAATTCCCTCGTTCCCCACAAATGGGGGAAATATCCAAAAAAATTACAAATTTAAAAATCGGTAAATTTTGTCTTTTTTTCTTAAAACTTCTATAACTTTTTCAAAAATAAACAAATCAACATCATTTTTTTTTATACTAAAACTTTAGATATTTACCTTTCATTTGATATCATTTTTTTGAATATCTATCACTTAACCTGCTCATTGAGGGGGATTTAAAATAGAAACTTTTTTACAAAAATTAACTTTTTCAACTTAATTTTTGAAAATGTTCCGGAAATACTGTGTCCTTCAAACATATATCAAATTAAAGCTTTTTTTATGTACTATAAAATGAAAAAAAAAAAAATTTGTCCCGACACTTTTTTTTCTACATTTAAACGGCTGCCGTAGTTAAAAAAAACACTATTTTTATGTTAAAATTTTCGTTTTTAAATTTTCAACTTAAAAATGCTATAACTTTTTGAAAAATGTATATATTAGCACAAATTATTTTTTTCTAAATACATTATAAGTACATCTTTCATTTGACATACTTTTTATTAAAATTGGACAATTTTCCCTTATATAGGGGGCGTTCAAAACTTAAAATATTGTAAAAAACATAGATCTTTTTCAACTGAACTTTTGAAAATGTTCCGGAAATACTGCGTCCTTTAAACATATATCAAATCAAAGGTTATGTTATATACTATCAAATGAAAAAAAAAAATTTGTCCCGACATCTTATCTTCTATGTGCAAATGGCTGTCGAAAATTTAAAAAAAAATGTAATGTTTGCGATAAAAATTACATTTTATCGGGATGTTTTTTGTACTTAAAACTGCCATAACTTTTTCAAAAATGAACAAATAAAAATAATATTTTTTTGTATTGAAACCTTAGATATTTCCCTTTCATTTGATATAATTTTTTTTGAAAATCTAACACTTATTCTGCTCACTGGGAGGATTTAAAATAGTAACTTTTTTACAAAAAATAACTTTTTCAACTGAACTTTTGAAAATGTTCCGGAAATACTGCGTCCTTTAAACATATATCAAATCAAAGATTATGTTATATACTATCAAATGAAAAAAAGAAATTTGTCCTGACATCTTATCTTCTATGTGCAAATGGCTGTCGAAAATTAAAAAAAAATGTAATGTTTGCGAAAAAAATTATCTTTTATCGGGATGTTTTTTGTACTTAAAACTGCCATAACATTTTCAAAAATGAACAAATAAAAATAATATTTTTTTGTATTGAAACCTTAGATATTTCCCTTTCATTTGATATAATTTTTTTTGAAAATCTAACACTTATTCTGCTCACTGGGGGGATTTAAAATAGTAATTTTTTTATAAAAAATAACTTTTTCAACTTAATTTTTGAAAATGTTCCGGAAATACTGCGTCCTTTAAACATATATCAAATTAAAGCTTATTTTATGTACTATAAAATGAAAAAAAAAATTTGTCCCGACGACCTATCTTCTATGCGCAAATGGCTACCATATTCAAAAATATACTATTAGATTTGCATTGAAGCGTTTTTTATGATAGTGATTTTAATCACTGTCAGATATCATCTATACTGGACCCAACTATGCCACGACCCTACTGTGCCGCCACCCCACTGTGCTAGGTTTTTTGATGTTTCATTTGTCTAATAATTTTTTTCATTATTTATACAGTAATCTGAATATGATTTAAATCCAAAACCAATTATTAAATCCATAAACGCCAATTATTCATAATCATATATCAAGGATTAGCTTAGATTTAGTCTACTATTCCAGTAAATAAATATTTTTTTTCTATTAAAACCACCTTGTTTAAAGCTTGTTTTATCACGATAATCGATAAAACGTAGTGGAGCTAATAATAACGTGGTTAGGTCAAAAGAGTATGCAATTGACGGATACACGCAATTTTTTTAAGATCGATTCTGCAATTGAGTGTAGGTAGTTTAGTTTTATCGGAAGAACGTGGCAATTTTCATGAGCTATCGGGATTTTCTACCTGAGCTAATCGTTAGATTTGCTGAAATCGTCGGAAACCGTCCGATTAAATACAATCTTAAATTGGAAGGCTTATATCATATACCACGATCGGAAGTCCTGTCTGAAGACCGAGTGTTTAAGACATAGGCTACTGTAATGCTATCCGATACGGAGTCGAGTGTTCAGTTGATGGAGATTTATAGTTATACCCGACAAGGAAGACACGTACTTGGAAGATGGTAGTGACTTTACTCTATCACATTTCGACAATTAAACTACCAATTCAAATATAAAATTTGAACCATGCATAAATCTAAGAGTTGCTAAGGATCATAAAAAAGTCATCGCAGATGTCAAGATTTAATATTTCAACAGAGTGGTAGAGATAAAAACTGTATTTATTCAACAAATGAAAAATTATCGAGCTATGAAATTATATTGAACAAAGTTATATGGAAAGTTAAACACGATAGTGTATTGAATATCATACGGTTAGACTTGCTCAATGTCTTGGAAACCTCAACACCAATTCAAATAGCATTTTCAAGTTGGAAACTATACATGTATAGCCTAATAATCTATAGACTTGTCGTATGAATTTGCAAGTATAGACTTGAAGAAGTAAAAAAAAATGGTTTATATATTATTACAATGTAAGGTATTAAGAAATTGTTAATAAGTGGGTGCTAACGAACGATGATGATTTGAGTAAAAGGTGAAAATTAATGAATACGGTGTACCCAGAGAGACATTTGAAGATATTTCAAAGAACGAAGGACTGGTAGATTTAATTAGTGAGAAAGAGGTATGGGAAGCTGTGGGATCAATGAAAAAGAATGATGCAGTTGAATTGCACCAGATGAATTTATCGTTAGAATTATAGAGAATTAATAAAATTCTATTGGAAAAGAAAAATCAAAATAATGGAAGACTAGCATTGCGGAGCCGATATAAAAAGGCAAAGGAGATACACAGTAGCGTAGAAATTATATAGGCATAATGATTATGAGTCATAGTATGAAGATAATTATTAAATGAAACAATAAAATTAGCATTTAACTTTATAAAAACATTAATTTTCATAAATATATAAGATTGGTTAGTAAAAGTAATACAAACAATATTAACATATGAATATTAAATATAAAGTATATAATCGATCATGTACATTGGCAGTGGAATGTTAAGTTTTGAGGAACTATTAGCAATTAGCTTATTATTGCATGTATTTTTATCATCTATAGATTCAGGATTCTCCATATTATATACTTCCATGTATATATTTTGGCTGCATAAGCGTTCTAAAAAAAAAATTAATAATAAATATGATATTTATTCAAAGGATTATTCAACATAAAAAAACTTTCCAATGCATTAATTTTTAAGCATTTAATAATTATTAATTTCTGCTTTCTAACTTTTAAGTATAATCAAAATAGTCAAGCAAAAATTACACTGTAAACATAATTATTATGAATAATGTGCAAAATTTAAAACTAGTTTCAACTGATTTTTGAAACCTTTGAAATCTAATGTAGATGTTTATATTCAAAACAATATAAGTTAAATCATTCAATATAATTTTTTTTTTGCTGTAATTATAACTGTTTCACAAAAATTTAGACTGAAACTGTTTTACGGTTTTTTAGCCAAAATTTAAAACCAAAATCATATACAACCCCAAAACAGTTTCATAACAGTACCAAAACACAAAATCAAAGCAGAAGAAACTGTAAACATATTACACCGATTTTGTTTTTATACAAAATAAATAAATAAATACGGTAGCACAGTGGGGTCAAGGCACAGTGTGGACGAGGTATAAATAGGATAAGTATAGATGATATCTGACAATGATTAAAATCACTATCATAAGAAACGCTTCGATGCAAATCTGTAGATAATATTTAATTCTAAGAAATTGGTGGATTATTCCAAAAGCAACATCAACTCTTATTTCTTTGATTATATCCTGATTAGTAGTTCTTTGATTTTAAAATATAATATATGAATAAATACTAATTATAATTATTAAATTTAGTATGAAATTGATATTCAATAATTTAATATTGTAATTTATACGGAGAAATTTGTGACGTTCACCGATAACTAACCGTGAGGTTATCACCGATGAAGCACATAAACCCAAACGAAGTTGGATTCACCACTAGCCGAGGCTCTACCAGACCGGAGCATAGTGGAATTTTAAATATAACTGACACATTTGTTGTTTTAATTTACTAAGTTTATACCTTAACTCTAGGAGAAAAGGAATTAAAAACTGGTAGACAAGTAGTATAGGCGATGATGTTCTATTTTATATACTGAGTTTAACTAAAATAATAATGCCCAAAGTACAATAAAATAAATGTCAGTTACAAATGTTCAAAATAAAATAAAATTACAAATTCTTTTATATAACATATTTCAAGTCATAGTTAAAATTATTACAAATTATTAAATGAGCTAAAGGACAAATAAAATAAAAGGGACATGAGGGAAAAAATAATCTCTGACACTGCTGTATGACTATGTTCGATTTGACCAAGGGACAGGATCATACTTTCCAATATTGAATAAAATAAAATGGTTATCATTGCAATAATGCTCAAACTAAGAACATGACATCGGTCAATATGGATCGAGGCCTTTTATACTGAGCCTTGAGACTGCTAAGCACGTCTAGATTGGTCCAACACATGTGAGGTTTTATTACACTCAACATAATAAAAATAATGATAGAATGGACGAAAATGATATTTTATCATAATTTAACAATAGTCAATGAGAAAATATGCCAAGAGATCAGATAGAATAATCATATTAAAATATTTAAAATATATTAATGTCATTTTTAAAGAAACCTCGTGACAATGCACGAATAGAGGAAACAATGAAATGGACAAAAATAAAGAAAAACGGGAATGCTGTANAAAATAAAGAAAAACGGGAATACTGTGCAAAGTTACCAAATTATATTATCATGATGCCCAGGCCGTAGCCAACAAATGAATCTTCACCCATGGCTCAATCGCCAGGGCCAAAAATAAAAGTTAGGCAGCCATGAGATGTTCAAGTACAAAATGAAAAACGATAAGTAGAAGGCTGGAGACAGAATAAGACGACCGACCAAAACACATTTGAACAAAACGGCCAGACCACTTGACGGCGACGACACACATGGACCGGAAGGGGAAACAAACGCCGACATCAGTGCATGCCTCGTTGACAGATATCTGGGACCGGTTGAATGATTGACAGTACTGTAGTGGTCAGCTGGGCGTTTTGTTNCTAGCGGTCAGCTGGGCGTTTTGTTATCACCATGATAATTTGTTATGAACAATTGTACAACAGATAAAATAGAAAAAGGGAATGTGCGACTGCATTTAGGAAAATTTAATTATGTTATTTGAATTATAATGTTCAAAATTAGTTTTTATTCACCACGAAATTAATACTATCTAGACAATAACACCGCATTACCAATTGCCGAGCAGTTACACTTAATTATATGATGTTCACAATAACTAATTTAATTTACTAATGTGTTAAATAGTACTATTAATGATAGGTCAATTTTTTACGTCACAGATTATAAAAATAATAAAAAAGTTATATTTTGCTTTACTTTTACGTGTATAAAAATTTAAAGGGCTTGATACAATATATACAATAAAAACTGTTTGTTACTATAAATAAATGCACTGGACTACAAAGAACTTTCATCAGAAGCAAAAATATACTTTTCTAAATCAACTTTTCGCGTTGTTTTCAAATCTACAATTAGACTTTTTCTATCAATTCTAATTTTTTATATTATTACTAATTACATATAAAAAAATAATTAAAAGAAAAAAAAATTTATTTTCAAATTATTACTTATTTGATTTTTAATATGTTAAAAATAATCAGTCAAAAATTTCATTTTTAACCTATTTTTTTTGGTCCTTTAAAGTTGATGAAAAATTTTTGATAGAGTTTTGTGAAAGTTTACAGTAAAAAAAATTGAATATGTTACCATAACTTTTAGCTCAATTACAAGTTTGAAATTGACATCATTAAATAGAAAATTTTATGAGAATTAAAAATATTGTATTGTTAAGATTAATATGCAGTCAGAAAGTTTTATAATTTCTATTTACAGTATATTTATCAGAAAAACTCATTATTTATTTGCATTTTTATCATAATAGAACACTTAAATAGAAATCATAATAATCATTTCTCAGTAACTTTTAGTATTTAAAAAGATTCTACAATTGAAATATCTAGAACTGAATTAATTTTAATGATTTACTTTAACTAAAAAAAAAAAGTTATCATTTTGAATCCTTCTTGTGGGCAGGTCAATAGTTAGATTTATAAAAAAAAAACTAAATGATAGGTAACATGCATCTAATTAAAAAAAAATTATAGTGATTTGATCATTTTTGATAAAGTTATAACAGTTAACAAAGTTATAAGTTTTATACACTGGACTACAAGGAACTTTCAACAGAAACAATTTTTCTATCACTTCTAAGTTTTAATATTATTAAATAATTAAGAACAAAAAAAAATTGTTTTAAATTAATACTGATTTTGACTATTAACATGTTAAAAATAAGAAATATGACATAATTAACCTATTTTTTTAATCGTTTAAAGTTGATTTTTGTAAATATTTATAATAAAAAAAAATAATTTATTTTACCATAACTTTTAACTCAATTGGCAAGTTTGACATTGACATCATTAAATAGAAAATTTTATGACAATTAAAAATATTGCATTGTTAAGATTAATATGCAGTCAGAAAGTTTTATAATTACTATTTACAGTATATTTATCAGAGTAACTCAATATTTTTTTACATTTTTATCGTAATAGATAACTTAAATAGAAGTAATAGTAATCAATTCCTAGTACCTTTTGGTGTTTGAAAAGATTCTGCAATTAAAATATCCAGAACTTAATTAATTTTAATGATTTACTTTAACTAAATGAACCAATCAAAACAAAGTTGTTAAAAAGATTTACTCAATTGAGCGTATAATAAAATTTGATTATAAATGTAAAAATCCATTATTAATTCAGGAGAAACTAACAATCTTTTTTTTAGAAATGATTTATATAGCAACATGTTTCCAATAAATTTGTAATATTATAGTCTAGTAGTAGCACACACAAATAGAGTAACAAAATTATTAAATTACAAAGTAAAATGATTTAATTTTGTTTTTGAAACCTATCATATCAAATTATCATATAAAAACTGGATTCGTCAATAAATATTTTGAAAACAATAGAAATGAATGATTTCAATTGTCTGTATGGAGAACATGGGTTAAGTAACTGTATCTTAGATAAATTAGAATTTTTTTCAATTTTTGAGGGTAATATCTTCAACTAGATACGAATTGTAGTCATTTGACGTATCGTTGGAAGAAGTAGGTCAAGTTAGAGCAGAGAAAATAAATGATAGTCACAGAAAAATATCTTCTCAGCTTCGCATCGAAGCTAAAACTTAAAATATAGTAAAATAATTTTAATATGAATAAAAAATGTTGTCTCGCGAGTGGCGACTACAGTGATGGGATCCTTGATCTTTATTGAACTTATTGAATCTAAATGAGATAAAAATCAAAGCAGTTGAAAATTTATTCTAACTTAAAAAGAATTATGAAAAAATGCAAAAAATACATTGCCATATGTGGGTTAGAACCTTGTACCCCTAGCGCGTAATCTACAAGTTTTACCAATCTGGCAACCGTGCATTGGTACTGTCCGCTGAAAAAATTGGTTATTTAAGCTGATTCATATTACAAAGTTAATTTTCTTGACTTCAAAAAGCAAAATAATTTAAATAAGTTTAACTTTCTATGCTATATTAATTTTTATATATATAATATTTATGAATATCTGTACTCCCTTTGTCAGGTATTTCAAAATAATATAAAATACAAAACCCATAATTTTAACACAAAAATAGCATACTTTTGAATATGGTAGTTATTTTTACCATGAAGACAAATCCAGAGGTCAAATTTTTTTGTTCAAATTAAAGTATATTATATAAGCTTTAATTTAAGATATATATATAAGTATCAGTATTTCCGGAACTCTTTCAAAAGTTAAGTTGAAAAAGTAAATTTTTTGTGAAAAAGTTGTCATTTTAAATCTCCCCCTGGGGGCAGGTTAAGTGTCAGATTTAAAAATTATATGTTTTGAACCCCCTTGTATTAAGGAAAATGGTCCGATTTAAAAAACAAGTATGTCGAATTAAAGAGGTATATAAATATTATTTCTCATAAAAAAATTGTATTGATCCATACATTATCCAATGATTTATAACGTATAAAGTTAAAAATATGAAAAAGAATTTTTATACAAAAATCGTATTTTAGCTTCGATGCGAAGCTGAGAAGGTATTAATTTTACTATAAGTTTTTTTTTTTTTTTTGTGTCTGTTACCACTTTTTCTCAGCTCTCACCGAACCGATTTCTTTCAATGATACGTCAAAAGATCACAAATCGTATCTAGTTAAAGACATTACCCTTAACAATTGAAAAATTTTCCCTCGTTCCCTGCAAATGGGGGAAATATCCAAAAAAAATTACAAATTTAAAAATCGGTAAATTTTGTCATTTTTGTCAATTTTAACACAAAAATAGCATATTTTTGAATATGGTAACCATTTTTACCATGAAGACAAATTTTTTTTTTCAAATTAAGGTATATTATTTAAGCTTTAATTTAAGATATATATAAATGTGTCAGTATTTCCGTAATACTTTCAAAAATTAAATTGAAAATGTCCAAGTAACTATACGCATGTTTAAAGTTTTGACCCCCCTTGTATAAAGGGGTATGATCCGATTTACAAAAAAAGTGTGTCAGATAAAAGGGGTATATAAAAATTTATTATAAAAAAATAATAATATTGATCTATACATTTTTTCAAATGTTATATAAAATAAAAATTAAATAATATAAAATATAAAATCGAGAATTTTTTAATGGAAATTGTACGTTTTTCTTTAACTTTAATGTCCGTTTTCACCACGAAGACAAGGCCAGAGTTCGAATTTTTTTTTCAAAATAAAGTAAATTACATAAGCTTTAATTTAAGGTATATATATAAAAGTGTCAGACCTTCCGGAACACTTTCAACAGTTAAGTTGAAAAAATTCTATTTTCTATACGCATTTTAAAATGTTTGCACCCCCCCTATACAAAGGGAAATGTTCCGATTTAAAAAAAAAGTATGTTGATTGAAAGAAGTATATATAAAGTATTTATCATTAAAGAATAAAGTTGATTCATGCATTTTTTAAAAAGTTATAGCAACATAATGTTAAAAAATGTAAAATATAATATCAAGAATTTTTTCACAAAAATAGCATATTTTTGCATACGGTAGTCATTTTCACCATGNGTAGGCCCTCTGTTTTGACTGAAACCTTACACATGGCGACCGTGACAGGACCCTCTCCTAAATTTTATTGAAAAACATTTATAATATAATAAAAAAAAAAAAAATTGGAATTTTGGCTAAAAAAAATGAAATATATACCTTTGACTCCCTACTCCTTTATTTCCCTGTGCAAACGCTATTGTTGTAATGCCTATACAGGTAATATCCACCATTTTTTAATTTTGTTTTCCCCCATTATATTATTTTTGTTAATCCCATAATTTCTTTTAGCATATGTTGTATGGTACAGTGTTTGTTGGATTAGTGAATGGTTGTTGGATCAATTGACAGGTCTTTTGTTTGGTACTATCATTAATGATGCTCAAGTATACTTTTATAACTGTTTTGTTTATTTACTTGCCTGTACAAAGGAAAATGGTCCGATTTAAAAAAAAAAGTATGTCGAATGAAAGAGGTATATATAAAGTATTTATCATTAAAGAATAAAGTTGATTCATGCATTTTTTAAAAAGTTATAGCAACATAATGTTAAAAAATGTAAAATATAATATCAAGAATTTTTTCACAAAAATAGCATATTTTTGCATACGGTAGTCATTTTCACCATGAAGACAAGTCCAGAGGTCAAATTTTTTTTTTTCAAATTAAAGTATATTACATTAGCTTTAATTTAAGGTATATATAAAATTGTCAGTCTTTCCGGAACATTTTCAAAAGTTAAGTTGAAAAAGTTCTACTTTCTATACGCATTTTAAAAGGTTTGCACCCCCCCTGTATAAAGGGAAATGGTCCGATTTTAAAAAAAAGTATGTCGAATGAAAGAAGTATATATAAAGTATTTATCATTAAAGAATAAAGTTGATTCATGCATTTTTTAAAAAGTTATAGCAACATAATGTTAAAAAATGTAAAATATAATATCAAGAATTTTTTCACAAAAATAGCATATTTTTGCATACGGTAGTCATTTTTACCATGAAGACAAATCCAGAGGTTAATTTTTTTTTTTTAAACTAAATTATATTACATTATTTTTAAGGTATATAATATATTTATTAATATATAGGTATAAATATATAAAAGTGTCAGTCTTTCCGGAACATTTTCAAAAGTTAAGTTGAAAAAGTTAATTTTTTGTAAAAAAGTTACCATTGTTTGCACCCCCCCTGTATAAAGGGAAATGGTCCGATTTTAAAAAAAAGTATGTCGAATGAAAGAAGTATATATAAAGTATTTATCATTAAAGAATAAAGTTGATTCATGCATTTTTTAAAAAGTTATAGCAACATAATGTTAAAAAATGTAAAATATAATATCAAGAATTTTTTCACAAAAATAGCATATTTTTGCATACGGTAGTCATTTTTACCATGAAGACAAATCCAGAGGTTAATTTTTTTTTTTTAAACTAAATTATATTACATTATTTTTAAGGTATATAATATATTTATTAATATATAGGTATAAATATATAAAAGTGTCAGTCTTTCCGGAACATTTTCAAAAGTTAAGTTGAAAAAGTTAATTTTTTGTAAAAAAGTTACCATTTTGAAATCCTTCCTGTGGGCTTATAAAAGGTCAATTGTTCATAAAATAATATAAAATGATAGGTTGTAATAACCTTAGGTATCTATAAAAAAAAATTATATTGATTTGGTAATTTTTAAAAAAAGTTATGGCAATTTTATGTAAAAAAAAATTGAAAAAATATCGTAAATTAGCGATTTTTAAATTTGTAATTTTTTGGGGGATTTCCCTCGTTTACGGGGAAAGAGGGATTTTTTTCAAAATTTTGAGGTTAATGTCTTTGACTAGATACGATTTGTGATCTTTTGACATATTTTTCATCAAAAACGGTTCAGCGAAAGCTGAGATTGAGCGTATCCAGACACAAAAAAAAACACATTACCTTCTCAGCTTTGCATCGAAGCTAAAACGAAGATTTTATGTTAATGTAATAAATATCTCAAAAAAGAGGTGATAGAAAAAAAATGTATTGCAGACTTTTAGAAAAGTAGAAAAGTATATTTTGGATTCTGATGAAAATTCCTTATAGATCAGTTAATTTATTCATTAGTAAAAAACAATTTTTTTTTGAAAAGAAAGTCCTTTAATATTTATACATCATTTCCATAAAATTAACTCCTTTATAATTTTTTATAATTTCTCCGCAATAATTACAATATTAAATTATTAGATATAATTTTCATATTATATTTGTTTTATTAAATATTTTTTCATATATTACACTTATAAATAATGAAACTTGCAAGCAAGATATAAATAAGGAATTGGAATTTTTTTATTTTTTAAATTAAACACTATCAATAGATTGCCATCGAAGTGTTTCTTATGATAGTGATTTTAATCATCATCAGATATCATGTATACTTGTTACAACTTTGCCCGGATCCAACTGTCTTAGCGTTATTTGTTTTTAATAGCAACATATTAATATTAAACTAACTTATTAAACCTTTAGACTAGTACTTTGGAAGATTTTTTCATTTTTATACCTAAGCGGGACGAACAGTAAGATCGGAAAAAAAATAGCACACACTCTTCACCTTCTATCGTTACTTTAAATTATAATTACAATTCTGAAAGACTTACTTATAATATCTGACTCTGATTTCAATAATTCTTTAGAGCTATTTTTAAAGAATAAGTCATTTATACTTCGTGTATTATTTATTGTATTGAGTGACTCACTGTATTTCTCTAATTCAAATAAGTATGTTAACTTTACATCGACAAGTTGCGCCAACTCGTTATATAATATATGAACATTATCATCAGTAATTTTTACATCAATAATAATACCAAAATACTTATTTAATTTATTTTTATCAAAAAAGGATTTCGTATATTTCATTATGTTACTCACCATAACTAAAATTAACTCACTTCGTTCTTCATTGAGAATATTACGTATATCATTACAAAGATTATCTAAATAGGTTTTCGGTTGTATTTTAAATAGACTTAGATTATTGAAATCTTCAATTTGTTTAATTATTATAGAACCAATTATTGACATATTGTTATAGATTTCATTTAGGTTATTTCTATTTGTATTATTCGTAAAATGTTTGGAAAAAATAATTATCTTCTTTAAAAATACAACATACATACGGACAAGTATTAAGATTGGCCGAATAGTTGAAGCTAAAACTAGCTCTTGATATCCTTGTAATTGTTTCGAATCAAAATTGTATTTCATGTGACGAAAAATGTCAAAAAGTGTCAAATAAGAATCATCAGGACATTTATATTGTAGTGGTGCAAACTTAAAATAGTCTAAAACGTTAAGGGCTCTATGTTCTTTTACTTCTGGTAATTTTCTACATTGTACATCTGAAGTAAGATTTCGTTCATCAAATATTTGATGTCCCATCATTAAATCATAGTATAACAATTTTTTAGGATGGAAATCCCAGCGAGAATCGTTTTTCAATGCTATTTCTAATATTCTAAATACTTCACTAGTGTTTAAATTTAATCTTTCATCTTTGAGTCTAAAGTTATTTTTAGATAATCTGTTTTTTAGTTTTTCTACAACTCTAGGGAGAAAATTAATTCTATAATCTTTCATTTCATTAAAGTCTGGGCAATTTGTAAATACTTCATCGAATGATACATCAGAACATATATTATTCACACAATTTTCCAACCGTTCTACCATTGCTTTATGTATCATTAAAAAGCCATTTAGTAAATTTAATTTTCTATTTGATTTCTCAAATTTACCATTTTTATTTTTAAAGTTCATCTCTACAGATCCTGAAACGTTATTTAAGTATAAATTTACATCCATTAGAGGTGATGGATAATTTTCCCGTTCTTCTGATCTTAGAGCTTCTAACATCGCAATTACAATTTCGCCATGAGATTGTATAGCTTTTCCATACATTTTTAAATCGCGTTTTGAAATATTTGTTTTATCTTCTTCTAATTTTAGTAAGTACTTTTCATTATGCTTAAAATAATTCAAAATATACTTAGAAAAGTTGCAATTTAACTCCATATATTCCATTGCTGTAGAAAAATTTATCATAAGTACAAAAATATAAAATATTTTACACGTAGTCATTTTTCTTAGAAAATAAAAAATCCTATGATATTCTCTGAAAAACACACTTTTTGTACAAATTATCGCTAGCATTTGTATTTATGTCAATAAAAGTTTTAAAAATTGAACTTAAATTATGACTTTAAACGTCTAATATTAGTTTAGCAAACAACTTCATACAAAACCAACCTATTATTTTATTGTTAAAACTATTCAATAAATTCAATATCAAATGATTTTCAAAAATTTTGTTCTTTAAATGTTTAATTTTAAATAATCAATAAGCTTATAAATCCACAATTTTTGAACATTTGTTGACATAAAAAAACACTCAATTAATAAAAACTAATTAAAAACCTAAATAATTACAAAAAACTTAATATAAGGAAGGCAATAGAAATATCTACAAATAAAAACAATTTAATTAATTTCATAAACGTATAAGTGATTACATCTCTATATGATAACCCAACTTGCAGATTTTTATAGAAATTGTTAACAACATACAAAATCTTCATAAATTGACCATAATGATTTATTTTATATCTGGTATGCAACAATTGATCCGAAAATCTAAGACGCAGAGTGACATTTGATTTATATTTAATAATTTTGATTAAGCTGTTATCTATATAATGATCACTTGAAAGTCGGGCTCTAGAAGTTAATTACTCTAGTAATTCATTTTAAATATATCCATTAAGAATCTACAATAATAAATAATTAAAATAAAACTCAAATCTTTCATATGAAGCTCGATCAAAATACAGTTTAAATGTATCAGACGCATTATAATTCATATTATTTATGAAAAACGAAGATTAGATTTTATTTTTAGTTAAATTTTCTGTTAAATCTGTTAAAAATTTAATTTAGTCAAAAACAGAGTCATGGTTAGTTAATTGATGATTACGTCATATATCTATTTAATTAACAATTTCAAAGTATACCTTTTCACTTTTTACAGATCACCGTATTACTACGAACCGGTTGCAATTATCAACCTGTAATGTTTGCGCATCTTTTATAAATCAACATGAGTAAAACTCACGTCCCCTAAATTTAAATGAATCATTACTCACTGATAATCGAATAAAATATAATAAAATAAACTAAATCGTTTTTTATTAATTAAAAAACTCGCTTACCATTAGAAAATTAAAAGTTGATGCTAATTTGAAGTATAAGGGATGATCACGAAAATGTTATTTTACTCAGTGAGAGTCTAAATTATAAATATAATAATTAAAAAAAAATAAAAGGTTAACTTACAGTTTCTGAGATAATTCATGAATCATTGTTAATCAATCACTCTGTATAAAGGAAATGTTCAGATTTAAAAAAATTATGACGAATTAAAGAGGAATATATAAAGTATTTATAAAAAAAAATTGTATTGGTTATACATTTTTCATAAAGTTACAGTAATATAAAGTTAAAAATATAAAATGTAAAGTCACTGTATGTTCGACTGACACTTTGGAATAATTTTGCTTATCGAAAGAATACACCTAAGTATAAGGTGTAGAAAGACGAAGTGCAAGTACTCTGAAATGTAGAGAATGAAAGTTGGTAAGTGTAAAGGTCATTAAAGGAATAAACAAACTCTTGACTCAATACAGTAAGCTGAACAGCGATAACCGAGTACTGAGATTGATGAATATGAAGCAATAAGATATTAATCCAACTGTTATAGGTTTATTGACAGGCAATGAGAAATAATGGTAATATATATATATATATATATATCACTATCAAAACCTTTTTTTAATGCAGTCGTTACTTTTATATAGCAAACGTTAGTCTACGTTATGTAAAGATGGTCAGAGTAAATACTATATTATTGTGTTATTTACTAGTGGCGGGATCTAAGGATAATATTAACAGCGAATATAATCAGGGATTCAGAGCGCAATGTTTCATGCTGTTCCAACAATACTCGGTAATGGAAAATTTAATCAAATTCGTTACGGCCGTTTCCCCGTAACGATACTTTTTCTAAGAAACGTTCCAACCGTTTAGTCCGTAACGAACTTTGGTTAAAAATTTTTCCAATATTTTAGACATAACTTTACGAAAAATGTTTCTTGAATTTCAGAAGAATGTTCCAACTCCATTTCATTTTTTTGATTATTTAGTACGATGACATAAATTCCACAGATAAAATCAATTCATATTATTTTTAAACTAGATTTTTTTAATTTTGTAACTAATATTTTAAATAATAAACTAATTTAACACTTATATTATATTATACATATTTTCAATGGAAATAAAAACTTATACATTTAATAATAAGTATAATAATATTTTGTGTATGTAACTCTTATTTTCAATATAATTATTACAACATCTTATGCGTAATTTAAAACCTTTGCGAAAAAATTTAATAATTGCTAAGTATCTGTTTTTAAAAATATATCTAAAATTCTAAATAATGTATAAGTTATAAACTGATAAATATTTACGACAATGCTGTGGTATGGAATTTTTTTATGAATTAAAATACATAAGGCTTATTTAACTTGAAAAATTAAAAGGATACATGTTTTTTAAGAGTTTTAATTTGTAAACCTAAATAATGTTATAACAATGCAATATGTTAAAATATTTGAATAGGCTAAAGAAGGAGAAATTATGGTGGACCCACTACATATTTTGTAGTGCATTTTTTTTCAAAAATACCTACAATATATTCTTTGCTTGACCCACTAATGTATTTAAATTAAATATCTTCCATTTTTATATTGCATAACGGTAAGCTATTGATATAAAAATTTTAATTTAATGTAAAATAAAAGAACCCCAAAAAAATTAATATTACATTTATTTATTTTAAAATTTGAACTACAGTCTTCTGTAAGCTATTTCTTCACACAATACATATATTATAAATATGTGTTTTTACAGGTGATTATTCCATTATGACTAACGCAACATATTTAATAATTTAATACGTAGGACGTAGAAAACAATTATTGTTTCATATATCATAAATTAAAAAAAAAAATTGGTCTTATTCCCACCTATCAATTTTATCAATTAAAGTTTCTTGAATGGAAACACAATGTTAAATTAGTTCACAAATAACAAAATAATTTATCTAAGAAAATAATTGGTTGATAATACTTTCAGAGCCATGATTTAAATGATATTAGTTAGCTCTAATATTTGAAAATACACATTATATTTTTCAACATAAGTTAATAGTTATGTTTAATTTATAAATTTAAAAGTATGAATTATAATAAGTGTTAAGTTGTTGGTATTTTCAATAATTAATTGGTGTTATTTCAAAGTGTGATATAATTTTGTCGATTACTATTGTTTTTATTATTTTGCTTAACATCTTAAATTAAACTTAATTATATTATTAGTTTTTTTTTTTTTAATAAATTTAGTTTATTAAGTAAAAAGTAGTTACATATCAATTCTTTTAATACTTATCATTAAAATTATTTAAATAAAAAAGTTGATAAGTGCATATATCATTGTTCTTGCCTTTAAAACTATTAATATATAAGTTTAAATATGATGATTATTAAGTCAGTTTTGTATTTATGCAGTGATGATACCTATGATTTGGCAATACTTATAAAATTCGACATAATACAAATATTAAAAATTACATTACAACTTAAAGAGCTACAAAAATTACAAAAAAATCGTAGATACGTATTTCGGAGATATTATCATTGTTATTGTTAAAAATGAAAACTCATTATATACCCCTAGTGACCTAGATATATAAAATATTTATATTTTATTTTGGCTTATTCTCTCTTTTTCAAAATAAAAATAAACGGTAGCACAATGGGGTCGTAGCACAGTTTAGACAAGTATAGATGATATCTGACAGTGATTAAAATCACTATCATAAGAAACGCTTTGGTGCAAATCTGTAAATAGTGTTTAATTTTAAGAAAATATGGATTATTCCAAAAGCAAAATTAACTTCTATTTCATTTATTAATTAGTAGTTCTAAGATTTATGAGTATATAAGTATAAATATCTATTATAACAATTCAACGTAATATGAAAGTGATATTTAATAATTTAGTATTGTAATTTTACAGAGAAATTAAAAAAAAATTATAAAGTAGAGGGGGGTGGTCGACTACCAGACACTTGGGTAAGCATATTTCCAACAACAAAGGTATTATTATATTATAACGTTATTATAAAATTAAAATATTTGAGTGACGAAACCCTAACGTGTACGGCTTGGAACAGGACGACGTTAAGATGATGTGATTGGTGTATCCTCTAAGAGTAACCGACCAAGAGCAACAAAATTATTTGGATCTGTCGTATATTGGCTACTCTGACAAGTATTATTACGCGTACATTTCAGATTTTTCAAAGCTCGTGCGCAGCCAAAAAACCCAACATCATGGCTGCATATACACTTGCAAACGTTGCTTCACCAGCTTTGATGATATGCCTAAAATGCATATTCTTAGGGGTCAACAAGCGTTGGTGCAACACAAGTTGATACGGAACAAAAATAAACCAATTTTACCCATTATGCCGGAAGAGGGCAGTAAGGTTGAATTTAACGCGTGGGTACAAACGCAACGGTTACCGTTCGTCATCTATGCTGATTTCGAGACCTTGCTGAAGCAAACAGACGATCGTATGGGTGCCTATACTAGGACTGTGCACATCCACCATTCCATGAACTACGGGTTCATGGTGAAAACATCGGACGATGTGCCCTCCGAGCTCCTCGAACGCTATGGTATACTAGAATCACCGGTGATATACCGTTGGTCTGAGGATTGCGAAGAGGTCGCCAAGGCATTTGTGATGTCTGTAACTGAAGTGACGTGCAACATTTCTAAATTGCTGCGCAAACCCAACGATCCCATCCGTATGTCTGTCGATGATGTGCGCAGGCACGGGAGGAAAGCGGTATGCGAATTATGCTGCACGGCATTCAAGGATTCCAACCCAAAAGCCGCAGACCACTGCCATTTATCGGGCAGATTCAGACAGACGTTGTGCAATGCGTGTAACCTGAAAGTAAAGACGATTTTGTGTCGTGCTTCTTGCACAACCTTTCAGGTTACGA